TTCGAACCTTGATACCATTTCTCAGCAACGACGCAGGAAACAAATTAATGATCATATCAAGGAACGGAGGTTGCCTGTGACGAGGTCACATTAAATTATTTACTACGTTATGGCAATATTTAGATATTTGCATCAAATTCCTTTGGTGACAGTTTCATTTTTTCGCCAACTTGTGTTGTAAAGTGAGGAACAGTTTTCATCAGACAACTGTTGTAAGCGGAGGAAAGTATTGCATCAGACAACTGTTGTAAGCGGAGGAAAGTATTGCGTCAGACAACTAGCGTCTTCACTTCTGTTTGCTTGGGTAGCTGAAGGTATTTTGCGATTGGTTGCCTTCTGACGCTGGATTTTTTTTTTCATTGGCGGGAAAACTTAACTGTGGAATTTTATAAAAGGCGGTATTTTTTTGTCCACCAAGAGGGAGGAGAAGGAGGAGATTGTGAAGGTGCGAGATGGAGATGCTGCATAGAGAAAGACAGTAAGAGTGGGGTAAAATGCAAACTTTTGGGAGTTTATCGTGCAAGCTTTCTTTGGTCTCCCAATGTGTATGAAGGAAGCGAGTTTCTTTCTCTTTGATGTTGTAGCTGCAAAATTTTAGCTGATCTCTTTTTTTCCCGGGCTTGGCATTTTTCGCCCGGAAACCGATTTGATCCCTATGAAGGAGCACCTGCATGTGTTTGAGCTGAAATATACCACAGCCTTCGAAGGGCTGTCGTAGGAAGAAGGTGGTCTATTCTTTTTTCTGTTCTGAGGTGAGAAGGTCTCATATCATCCATGTGACACAACCGGATTAAAGAAAAAGGAATATCTCTTCAACATTGGTAGTATTCAATAAAGCAAGAATTAAATCTGTTTTCACGTGTTTGTCACTCTCTCGTCACGGCGGGCCTATAGACCTGGATCTTGTCCTGGGGTAAGTTGCCACTATATTCCTGTTTATCATAACATGTGACATATACGTTTGCCACCACAACCAACGAAATAATCATTACCACATAGCCAGATAATGAAAAACGGTGTTTTAAAGCACTCAAGATTTCTAAACTGAGTGGCAACAGTAACGGACTGTCCATCAACGGGCATATCGATGGAGTTCCGTGCAATATGATCATTGACACAGGAGCTAATGTTGCCATCATTAGGAAAGATTTAGCTGAACATAAAGATAAACTTATCTGGACGCCATCCTGTGTTACCCTTCAGACTGCGTCTGGTGATAAGATCGACATAGCTGGGAAGTTAAACGTGAACATCACGTTTGGAAGTGCCGCCTACCATCACTCGGCTTATGTGGCGGATATTACAGATCCATGCATACTCGGATTGGACTTTTTAAGGAAATACAATTTTTCCTTAGACTTCAAAAACAATAAGCTGTTCTGAGCATCTGAGGACATGACTATTCATCTTCAAAAGGGATCCTCACCTGGGAACGCCGACGCCTTGTCTGAAAGACCCAGCTCAGAAAGCTGCCGAAATCATACGAGGGTCGGAGAGAAACACTAGACTACCGGCTATTCTCCATCTCAGATGTTCTTCAGTCGTGACCTTCGTCTGCCTTGTGATCTATTGTTTGGTCGCCCTCCCGATGCTCCTTCATCGTCTGAGGAATATATTCAAGATCTCCAGGCCCGGTTGAAGTGATGCACAACTCTACACGAGAGCGAGTCAACTTGGCGACGGAGAAGATGAAGACCCGATACGACACAAGATCGACTGAACATCAATTCCACGAAGGAGACAAGGTGTGGTTGTGGAATCCGACTCGACGGAAAGCACTTTGTCCGAAATTACAGTCACCCCTTGGGATGGTCAGTACACGGTCTTAAACAGGCTGAATGACGTCGTGGTTCGGATCCGTAAGTCTTCGAACTCTAAACCTAAAGTCGTTCATTAGACAGGTTAGCTCATTAGTATGGCCATAGTACGTAATGTAAATAATTGTAAATAGTGTAAGACCATGGTCCTTTTTGTTTCTAAATGTGTATTTAGTATTTGATTCGTATTTTGCATTTGATTTGTATTTTGTATTTGATTTGTATTTGATAGCATTTGATTTGTTTTATTTACTGCATTTATTGTTCATGTTGTTTATTATTGTAATGTAATGCTTATTATTGCATTTATACCTTTAGTTGTAGGTTTGGCTTCCTGTCCAGGGATTGTACTGCCCGGGACGTGCAGTCCTTGGGAAGGGGGCAGTGTTACGAATTTGGTATTTAAAAAGCTAATGTTAGTTCAATTATAAATTAAATGGTTTTATTTCTCGCGCAGTGCAGCGCGTGACGAATATTAAAAGAAGAAAGCTAAGCCGGAAAATTGAAAATACAAGAGCGCGTGCATTAACATTTAAATAAATATCTCTCTTTTTGATTTCGAGAAAGTACTAGAAAATTCTTCGCACGCGATTTTAAAATCTTATAAAAGGAGGAAAACCTCTCAGTTTTATGGTTAGTTAGTTAGTTGTGTTTTAAGAGTTTGTTTAGAAAACTGCTCTTGTTGATTGTAGCGAATTCGCGGATTTAGCTTTCTTTAGCTGTTTTGAATTAAGTTCTATTGAACGTTTGAGTAGCTTAGAAGAATAACTACTGTTGAGATATTGTGAATACTGCCACGATTATTTGAGGACATTTAATCATTTTTATTGTGATAATAATAAAATTGTGCCCATTTTTCATCGGACTTGTGCATTCATTTCGTAACGAACCCGTACGCACGCAATAATATTACTATGATCAATAAAATATGTCTTTGACGCTGTGTTTTAAACGTCTTAGTGCAAACGTATTTATTATTAGTAGTATTAATATTATTCGCCGGCTGGTTTTGATAAATTATATAAATCAGTAGTCTTAAACTGGTGGCACGAAGCAATTTTAAATATCCGCAAATGCACTTCTCGGAAATTATAATTAACATTTTGAAAAAAATGTTTATGACTGATGAATTTGAAGTTTACTTTTATATTATTTTCATTGTCATTAAAAACGAAAAGAACCGCATAAAATCTACAAATGGAGATAATTAATTTATACCGTCGTATAAATCTTATTCAAAATTTAAAGACAGAAATTTTAATAATTTTTATTCGTTAACATCCTAACTTACGAATTTTTGCATTAAGAATAATCATTTTGTTCGGTATCAGATTTATATATGAACAGTTTTTTTGTATTTGAAATTTAATAAGAAACTAATTGACTGATCTATAATTCGTGATGAAGATATTTCCTATTACTTTTTTTCCAAGGGTACGAATTTTATCGAAAGCAAAATCTCAGCAGATGTTGTAACGGAAAATTGTAGTATGAAATAAAGAATCTGATAATTGTTTACATAAAAATATATGTACTTTTTATGCATGCGTCGAAGACAACTTTAATAAATAAAAGAAAGAAAATAGGTTGCCGTTGTTAATTATTGAGTTTTGTATCACGTATCAAGGTTTGTATCAATTTTTGTAATTTGTACATTTTTAGTTTAAGTAAGTAGTTTATTAGATTCAACCTATTAGAGTTACTTGAAATAAATGCCAATATGAAGATTTAAAATATTGAGCCGTCAACATGGTTAAAGTAAAAAGTGCAATCAACATCAATTTCTTGCAGACGTAAACTTACTTTTAGATTTCAGATACAAAATAAATTTAATATATTTGATACTTTTTCTCTGCGTCGTTATTATTACTTAAAAGTTTGACTTAACTTAAAAGTTTAAATATTATTTTAACAAAACAAATATTTTTGATAGAGTATTTTAATTTTATTCACTAAATATTCATCAAAACATGCATAAATAGTAACAATAACGACGCAAAGAAGAAAAGGATTTAATTTATATTTATTTTCTCTCTGAAGCCTGAATGTTTGTATCTGCAAGAAATTTGTGCCGGCTACATTTTGTAATATGAGCGCATTAATTTCTTTCTAAATGTTGAATTTTTAGACTGAGATTCACGTCAAAGGATTATAATATATTGAATTAACCACTGACTTAAATTAAAAACAAACAACATATGAAAATTTTCCAATACAAGCAAATTTGAAAAACTATATAATGACGACCTAATCTCATATTTTCAATTTCTAAATTTTTCTTCGACGTGTACAGAAAAAATACACGTTTGTATGCAAGTAATTTTAAATTATTTATTTCTGACTACAATATTCAGCTACATAGAGTTTAGATTTTGACAAATTTGAAAACTTGGAGAAAAATTACCCAAAACTACCTTCATCACGAATCGCAGATACTCATCTGTCATATATCCCAGTCTAGTCTATACTTTTTTCTGTTAGACTAATTAACTTACAAATGCGGGAAAAAATGCTCACATATAAATGTACTTCCAAATAAAGCAATTATTTTTATTTTAAAAATTCGTAACTGAGGGTTTTTATCTTTTGATAAGTACGAAGAAACGTTGATCACATTTGAGACTTCAGATCTTTGAATAAGATCACAATGTAAATTAACTAACTCCATTTGCAAATAATTTGGGGTTGTTTCTAGCGTTCCTTTTTAATCGTAAGGTAAAATAATGTAAAATTTGGCTCCAAATCATTAAAATCTTAAATGTTGTTTTCAAATTCTTTGTATAATAATAATAGTTACTAATTAGTTAATTTAATAGAAATGCATTCGCAGACTGCGCAGATTTGACTTCGCAGGGAGGAAAAGACCTTTTTGATTATCAGGAATTTTTTCAAACATCCGGAAACATTTTGTTTAAATTATTAGCATCCCATTTAATCCCGACAGTTGAAATTCTGCAGAAATTAAAACGCAGATTTTGTACAGGTGAAACTTTTCTCTTTTCGTCGCCAAAGCGGACGATTTCTCTGTTTAACTTCTGCACCCGAAACTGGTCCCGTCATTCTATCTATACCTCACCATTAACTGATCGTCAACAACTCCATTAGAACCCGCCGGAGTCTTGGAATACCAGCTCGGAGATACCTCCCGAAATTTACCATTGTCGCATCCTAGTCCATACGTTACCGAAGGCCTTAAATAAAATCTCAAGTCACCCCCGAGAGTCCCACTATAAATCTACGGCCCGTCTCCTGCAACCGTACCCCAACTTGGCTCCGGTCCTTATCCGTGGGATTTTCTGGGCTCAGCATCTTCTGCACATGCGCAGAGCTACTTTTCCAACCCCCCCTTTTTCGCGCCCAACGTGTAACTAATGAGAGAGGAAAGATACAGATTCCCCCATTGGCAAGGGGGAGGGGCTTAAAAAGTTTGCCGCACGTGGTGGAAAAAAAGTTTATTTCTCGATTCTTTCTTTTAGCGTATTCATTTATTTATTTATTTTTTCCCCTCGACTTTACAAGCGGACGTGAAACTTTCTGGGTGATAGTAACATGTAAGGAAGGTAGAGACATATAATAAAGCAGAGAAGTTGAAGTGTCGTTTTGATTAGTTATTAATTATAAAGAGAAAGAATTTTGTTTTCACAATTTTCACGTAATTCGGAAATACGTTATAAACATACGTCAATATTAAATTCTCCACTGTGATTATTGGATCCAGTTATCAAAGTTAATGAAAAGAAAATCACATCGAATGTTTTGTTTTGCCAATTTATGGATACAGCAGAGTTTTAAACAGTTTTTTCTCCTTCGAAGGAAATAATAAATTGGAAGCTTCTAAAATCACAGTCGTACAGGAAGCGTTAAGTTTCAGGTAAATATTTAAATAATTTTATCTATAACTTTGTTAAAATCATTAAAAAATTAAGTTCCAAATTTATTTAGAAATATTTGGAAAAAAAAGTTTTTTTGTCAATAATGTTTGTACTTCAGAAAAAGACAATTAACATATTTAAATAAACATATTTCTGTTAACTAGAGGTATGGAATTTGACGGCAAAAGTACAGCTTAGTTGCAATCAACTGCCCAAAAGAAGGAATATATGAGTCATATCTGGTTTAAAAAGATAGCTCTCCGGCTAACTTGCTTATTTGATATCTGAAGAGCGAAGATTTTAATTGTAAAATAATCTGTGAAACAGCTGCATTATCATATCCAGCAGAGCTAGCATATTCGAATCCTCAGATATCACAAATCTCCAGAAAGATTTGAGGCTGGAGATCTTGTTTCAATCGAATTCTAACTTTAAAAAAAATTAAGCCTTTTAACTAAAGCCTTTGTTAGACTTATTTTGAAAATATTAATTTAATCAACATCTAATAGAAGCACTCGTCAAAAAGAAATATCATTGCTGCAATTTCAGATGGCCTGGATCATCACTATTACCTTTTGGTTATGGAATTTTTCGGTGCTGGAATCTTAAAAATCCTATGAATCTTCGGAAAAATTCAAAATTCTGGAAGATAAACAACTTTTTTTAATCATTTGAATGTCACCCTGAAAAAAAGTCAAAACTTCAGGAAAATTAATTTTATTGTTTTCCAATAGAAATATTTAATATAAAAAAAAGGAAATGTTGCACTTCTAATAGACTTGATCATAAATATCATTTCTAGCCCCCGAAAGTCATATTCTAAATTTTCTGGAGAGAATTTAAAGTTCCATTTAACGTTTTTCTTTTTGCGCTTAAAAAATTATAACAATATTTAACTAAATTTAACTTGATTAAGTTTAATTTAAAATAATTAACTTAATAAAAATATTTAAAATAATCTTTTTCCTTGCTTTGACTAAAGCGCTTCCGGAAAAATGAAAAAAATTTGAATCGTAATCAAATAAATGTTGGAATATTAAAACATTTAAATAATCGTTTGAAACAAATAGCAATAGTGTTTATTTAAAAAAAATCCTCCTTTGAATTGGCAACGACGAAAATTAGAATTCGTAAGATCTAACGACCATTTGTTTTTTTGCATGCTATGTGTGTTTGTGAAAAGTCAAATACCTCTGTTAATTAAATTGCATATTTACTGCATTAAAATATTTATTCAGTGAATTAGTACAAAAAGAAGTCGAACCTACATATATTTATCACATTACTCTACAAAATGAAACTGAAGCATGAATTCCCTTTTGTTAAATTTCCTTTGTCTTCTCAATATACGTGTACTTGTTAAAAATCTTTATTCTTAAGTTAGTTTTGCATTAAACGCAGATTTCAAATTTTTATTTAGTTATAAACTTTTTACATTATATAGCTGTTGTTTCTTTTTCTAATAATTTTTTAAGAAAGATTCGGATTTATTAAATTATGCCAAAGTACGTTAGAATTAGTTATTTACCTTATATCACGATTTTGATAGATTGCAAATTCGCAAGATTCGAGAAATTTTTAGGAATTTGATTCGAATTTAAAAAATTTGGCATTCTTCCCATCCCTACTACAAAGTAAAGTTAATTAAAGAGCACAATATTTACTTAATTAATTCGACAGTGGATTCTACCAGTAAAGTAAAACAAAATTCTTAAATTCTAAGTATAATAAATTTTAACTATAAAAATAAAGTTACACTTTAAAATTAATGAAATTAACAAGGCTCTAATGAAAATTTTAAATGCGAATACTTTTTTAGAAATGATAGGTTGGGAGAATTTCTAAAATTCTTTCATTATAAAGGTTTCGTTTATAGTTTGAAAACTACTTTTAATGTCTACCGGGCTTTTAATGCTTACCGGACAGTGGCTCCCAAAAGTGTTCGTACACTTACAAGTTTCAGTAAAAGATTACTTTATTGATTAATATTTGAGAATGAGAATTTGTTAATAATATCTACAAATTTCTCTTAGCATAACTACATTAATTATATTATGAATATAGCAAAACGTTTTTTTGGAAATTAGTAATACAAAAATAACAGAAAAGTTACTTCGCAAAAGTCTCGTACACTTTAACGAAATCTGCGCATATTAGTAAATACTGAAGTATTTTGGTCCATTATTATTTTGTAGGGCATCCTGCAGCGTTCATGACAGCCCTCAAGCATCTGGGGACAGAGTTCATCAGATTTTTTTTTTTAATATCTGCATCAGTGTTCCTCCATTATTCCATAATTACTCTATTTAGTTCGTTTTTTGTTTTTGCTGCATCTTCGTACTCTAATCTCTATTGTCTCCAAATGTGTTTGTTCTAACGGGTTTAAATCTGGTGACTGAGGTGGTCTTTTCAGAACTTATAGACAGTTAATACATACACGAAAGACGAATGTTGTTAAGGGCCGTGTGCTTTCCCTGATAAAAAAATAAAATTGTTTCCAGTACCCAAATTTGGGGAGGATAATTTTAAATTATCTTTTAAAATATTTAAATAAACAGCATGGTTCATTATGCTATCAATAAATACTAAATTACCTAATCCTGATGCTTACATGCACCCACACCTTCATCGCCATGCATTACTATTCCAACCAAGGTCTTGGGTTTAAGTTCCTTATTTTTTCTTTTTATTCTTTCTTTTTTATGATATTAGATATTGATATAGTAATAAGAAAGATAAAACATTTCAAGTAAAGAAACTATTGTTAAGAACAACAGGAAGACCCTGAAATATTATAAATAATATTGTGAATTTAAAAACTTTCTGTATATAGTTTAAGTTAATGATTATTGAATGTATTTACACGACTACAAAATAGAGTGGGCCAAAAATTAATTGGAATTATTATTTTAAAGAATATAGGAAGAGTATGCATTCTGTAACTGGTAGAAAGCATTCACATATTTTATGATACAACATGTTCAACAAGGTTTTAACCATGACTTGTATGCTAAGTAATTTTTAAGGAAAAATTATGAACGGGTTATGAAACGGCAAAAAAGAGAAAATCAAATTTAGTAGTTACACATAATAATAATGTAAAAGCCTTAAATAGGATTTTCATTTGAATTACATATTCCTCGGTACCAGTGGTACCTCGGCATACGTCGGCTTCTGAATAAGTTCAACTTAATATATGATCTGCTTGTAGGAAAAACTTTTTGTTTGGCATACAATATTTGCTTGGAATACGGTTCAGATTCGATGACTCACGACAGGGTGGACTGCTCTTGTTTACCTCTTTGCAGACAACGCTACGCCTGCCCACGACTGTAATAAGTACGCTTATTGTTACTATTCAGTAAGCAATCCGCATTTTAAATGCAATCTTTCACGAGATCTTGTTTTTTTCGCTTAAGAGTTTTGTTAATTCGTTATCAATAATTAATTTCAAGAAAATTAATGTCAATGTGTCAAGCAATGAAGAAAATTAAAAGGATCACTATTGTTAAACGTATATCTTTCAATAAAATTTCCCGAGGTTTCTTCCAATAAAACACTTGTAGTGTTTAGTGCAGAAGATTAACGCACCTTTTTTTTTAATCAATCTTTGATCAAGTAATTTTTCTGCATAACTGTGCTTCATTAAGGCATGAAGTTAACTATTAAGTAAAAGCGAATGCTAAAGGAGAGAATTTTGTGACTGATATGGCGAATTTGTTTCTTTGAAAGATACAATTTTTATTAATCATCAGACTATCAACAGATGAAACTGTAAATACATTTCATACGCGTTTGAATGGAAAAATTAGCAATAAGAAGTTTCTTCATTGCTTCAGTGGAATATGCACTTTGAAAGGATTAAAATGCTCGTAAGAAATTGAGAACTTCATTTAACTTTTATCAAAAAGTGTACGTACTTTTGTATATTATTTCAGATAAGTTATGTTTCGAATAAAGTTATGTAAAATGAAATTTTTGAATATGAACCTAGTTAAATTCTCTAAAAGAGAGAAAGGGCAAATACAATTTGTTTGCTTTTAAAAAGTTACTAGTACTTAATTTTCTTGGTCATGTTATAGTTTCTACCCTTTTAGATATATTAGAAGTTTTTAAAACAAGCAGCTGCCCGCATATGTATAATGGTCAGCAACGCTGACTATCGTACTGATGAACTTGGGTTCGAATCCCGGAGAAGGCACATAAAATACTGGCTAGCCGAGCGGAATTTCGTTAGTTTATGGGTAGTTTAGAAGAGGAATGGAAGAACATCGAATCCGCGCCCCGGTATTTTGCCTATCAAAACTGGAGCGGAATTTCACAGTTGTGCTACGGGACTATACCTGTACTACTACCCCCCTGCCGTTGGTGAAATTCAGGTATCCCACTCGTTTCTACCTGTACCTACAAAGAAAAGCGCTTTTTTAACTCACTATACTTTTGCTCGGAGTCGAATCCAATTCTTTTGTTTACAGTACCTACACACTGAAGAGTACAAACGTACATGAGAGAGAACATAGTTGATCATGTTGTTGGTTAATTAAATTAATGATGGCAAAGTGTTTGAATGGCATCTGCATAGAAGAGAAATGACTTCATGAAGGACTTGTTTATGTTTAGGTTTCATATTATTGAAACAAAAAACGGTGATCTCTGCATAGGCAGTAGAAGTATTTAGAGAGATATTTATTCAAAAATATTCACTCTGCCTCACTGGGAATTTAAATTAAGTCTTCAAATTATTGATATGCTGACCAAAATATTTCATTAACATGTAGAAGATCCTTTTTAGATACCGAAAGTAGTTATTTGATTAAGATAAAACACGATCGATTAAGATATCCGAACTAAATAGAGTATTATTATTCGGTTAAGATAAAACACGAGAGAGATATTCTGCTTAAGGCAGAGACGGCTCCGTGTGGGTCTTTCTAAAGCTCGTGTTCTCGTTTCGTAGGAATAGCCCTATCCGAATCCGGTTATCAGTCCGCTTGCTGAG